TTCCCGGACCCGAGCCCCTGGCCCAGCCTGGCTCTCATGCAAGGGACAGACCGGCTCCCCACCTCGGCCGGCGCAAAGCACATGGTTAGAACCGGGAGCCGGGCGACTCACCCTCTTCCTGCCTCGCGGGGGCCGGCCCTTCCCGGGAGAGCGGCCTGTGTGGGCCAGGCAGGGCTGGGCAGCTGTGGCCGGGCACACCCGCCCCAGGGCGCTGGAGCCCCCGGCGCCCAGCCGTGCCCAGGCTGCCCCGCAGACCCTGTTCTCCGCTGAGGGCCCGCCTTGCGGCCCCCACCATGAAAATCCCACCCTGTCAGCGGGCTCGGCCCCGGCTGCTGGGTCTCCCTTCTGGGAATCTGGGGTTCCGCGCCTGGCCTACCGGCTGGCCGGGCAGCGAGCTTCCTTGTCCCTGCTAGTGTAGGGAATGGTCACGGTCAGGGGGAGGGAAGCTCTGCCCTGTGCTTTCTGCGTCCCTCAGGCCCGCCTGTCATGGGAGGGGCGTCTGCCGGGCCAGGAGGCCCCCGGGGTCCAGCGCGGAGAGTTATTCTGTCTTTACAGATGCAGGGGCCTTGTCTGATGCCTCGATCGTGTGCTTTTCACAGCAAAGTTGCCAACAGCCAGCATTTCCAGCTCCTGTCCCGTTGCCTGTGTCCCCCCTGCCAGAGGGGACTCTGTCCCAGGGACCAGAGGGGCTCGCCTGCCGAACAGCAGTCGGCAGCTGCAGGGAGGCCTCGCAGGGCCCTGGGCTGCAGGGTCTCCGCACAGCCGAGCTGCTGCTGCTGCCCAGGCCGGGGGCAGGCCCCGCACCGCGGGCCGGGGCGCCGCTGTGGTCAGCACGTCCGCACACGGGCCCCACAGACCCCGGTCCCGCGACCTGAGCCGCGCGGCTCCACTGTGCAGACGTTTGTTCCGGGGCCGCCAGCGTCCCGCTGGCCTGGTGCCCCTCCTCCACCTGTTCCCTGGCCTCCGGGTGCCTGTGGCCCCGCGGTGCTCGCTGTGCTGCCGCGTCAGCCTGGCCGCCCGCGGCGCCCGGAGAGGTGAGGCGCCGGGCGGGGTGCAGGGGCCGGGCGGGGTGCAGGGGCCGAGCCGCGCGCTGACCCCCTCAGCGGCTCTGAGGAGCAGGCGGTCCAGCGCACCCTGCGGGCACTCGCCTGTGCAAGCCCCTCCTCCAGCCGGGGCTCCCCCTCCCCCGCACTCGCTCCGGGGCGGGGGGTGCGGCCAGGTGGGCTGGCGTGTGCCTGAGCCCTGCGCCCTGTGCGCCCACCAACGCCACAGCCGCAGAGCCGGGCCCTGGACCCGGCTGAGGGGGTGCTCTGCTTGCAATGCCCCTGGGTGACCCTCCTGAATGACCCCCAAGCTGCCCCCAAGCCTCTCTGGACCCCGCCCTCCCATGGCTGTGGCATCACACGCCCCAGCTCTCCCTCCATCTGCGCTCCCCGCCCCCCACCACACGGACCCCCGAGTCTGTGCCCACGGCCCCTCCCTTGGCACATGGTCGCCTGGCCCGAGCCCTCACACGCTGCCGCCGGCAAAGCCGGACTCCATCTGCCGGCCAGAAGTTGCCCCTCACTGTGCCTGCGGCTGGCTCCTGGGGCCTGTCCCGGCTGGTCCCAGATTCTGCCTGGGCGTTTACTTTTACTAAGTATCAGCATACAATCGACCCTGTTGCATGTGTGTGAGATTTTCCCGGCTGCCATACTGCACGTAACTCTGCGGTTCACTCCACATACGGTGAAGGCCCACAGGAAACCAGACACCCAGAGAGGCCGAGCACCTCGCTGAAGGTTGCCTTTCCTCTGCCGGAAGATGGGGACTTCCGGGCTCCTGTCCTGGGGTTCTCCCAGCAGCCGACACGCACGTTTGTTTTCACTGCCACTCGCCTTCACGCTTCTTGGAAGCAGCGGTAAAGCAGGCCGAGGCAGCCATTAATCAGAGATTTCTCTCCTAATAAAAGTTTCCAAGGCCCTGTTGCTATTTTCTGTCTCTGCCGTAAGGACAGGAGCTGATGCGTCACGATCAGCTGAGATCATGGAGGCCGCAGGGAACTGGGCAGGAGGGGCGGAGGGTCTGCCGCCCCGTGACCTCAGCCTTGAGACCTCAGCCCCGAGCCTGTGGCTGTGGCGGTGTCTTCAGACCCGACAGCCCCTGACGCAGCAGATGCCCGTGACCCTGGCAGCGGTGCGCGCAGCACAGTGACGCCAGCAGCAGCAGCAGCCTCAGAGGCGTTGGGGTCAGCACGGCCGGGCCACACCTCGGGGGGAGGCAGTGGAGGGGGAAGACGGCCCCTCCCAACAACTGGAGGCAATTTGGTAGGAGAAACAAAAAATGTGGACTGTCTCGCCATCTACTGGAAGACAAGAGAAAGACCTCCAGTTACAAACCTTTCGAACTCTCCAAATTGAAGTAAACGCCTTACCTAACGGAGGAAAGTGTTTGCTGTTTCCAACGCGGTGGTAGAGGAACAGCTCGTCACACACCATGAAAAATCACGCTGACATGGCAGACAGTTCTCCAGAAAACAAACTGCAAGTCCCAGAAGGGTGCGATCTAACTGATAGCAAATGCAAAATAGCTCAACAAGCTACAAGAGCACTCAGGAAGAGCATTCCGTGCACTCGGAAGTGAAATTAGTGAACGGAAGCAGCATTTTACAAAAGAGACCGAAACTCTAAGAAAGAACCAGACAGAAATGCTGGGGCCGAAGAACTCCGTGAGCGAGACGAAGCCTGTCAGAACGCACTGGACACAGAGCGGGGGAGGGGACGGAAACCTAGGGACGATTCGAGAGGGCGAGGAGAGACCTAAGGTTTTTAAAAATGAAGGCGCTCTCAGAGGACTATTTGATTCCTTAAAAAAAAGGCAACACAGGACGATGGGCATCCCGGAACGAGAAGTGGGGAAGGCAGCAGAGGGCTTCCTCCGAGGAGTGATGCCTGAGAACTTCCCAAAGCCGGGGGCGCCGGGCGTGCGGGCACAGGGAGCTCCTACGCAGTAATTACCGCCGTGTGGGAACACGTTCTCCAGCGCGTTGTTTTAAAACTCCGAAGTCAATGATACGGAAAGAATTTAAAGGCAGGTGGGGAAAAAAGACACTAACCCGCAAAGAGACCTCTATGAGGCTGTCGGCAGATCTCTCAGCAGAACCCTGCGGGCCAGGAGAGAGTGAAGACATGTTCAGAATTTGCAAAATAAAAACTGCCGGCCAGGAAGATCCTATACAGCAAAGCCACTCTTCAGACGTGAAGGAGAAACAAAGGCTTCCCCGGACAGCCAGAAGCTGAGGCAGTTCACCGCCACCAGACCTGCTTGATACAAAATGCTGAAAGGAGCTCTTCTCCCCAAACAAAAAGGCGAAACTACACAAAATTTCGAGTAAGGTGATAAACAGACAGGTAGAATCAGAAAATTGAAAGCTGTTGCAGAACAGGGTGTTTAACATTAAATTACAGAATAAAAATGAAGTGGAAAAGAAGCATTAAAAATAACTATAACTATTTTAATTTGGTAACAAGCTCACAACATAAAAGGGATAGTTCGTGACAACAGAAATATAAAGGGAGAGGAGGCAAAGGGCACGGTCTGCCTGGACGGCGTTCGGCGCGCGGCCCGGCCACGTGCGGGATGAGGAGGCCGGACCGCGGCGTCGCTGCGCACACACGAATGAACGCCAGCGGGTGGAAGACCGGAAGGGGAGACCTGAAACCACAGAATATGCAGAAGGGAACATGTGCCAAGCTCCTTGACATTAGACTTAGTGACGTTTTAATAGATTTGACTCTAAGAGCAAGGGAAAGAAAAGTGAAAAGAAACAAATAGGACTACGTCGAACTAAGAAGCTTCTGCACAATACGGGGAACTACCAACAAAGTGAGGGGCAACCTACAAAATGGGAAAGGGCATTTGCAAACCATGTATGTGATGAGGAGTTAATATCCGAAATGTATAAAGAACTAATACCACTCAACAACAACCACCACCTGAAAAACCAAACAACCTGATTTAAAAATGGACGGAGGACCTGAAAAGACAGTTTTCCAAAGAAACTTACAAGTGGTGAACAGGCACAGGAAAAGATGCTCAGCACCACTAATCATCAGGGAAATGCAGATCCACACCACAGTGAGACACCACCTCATGCCTGTTAGGATGGTAGCATAAAAAAGACAAGAAATATGTAAGTATTGGTGAGGATGTGGAGAAAAGGGAGCTCTCATGCACTGTTGGTGGGAATGCAGACTGGTGCAGCCACTGCGGAAAGCTGTATGGAGGTTCCTTAAAAAGGTAAAAGTAGAATAACCATATAATCTAGCTACTTAACTTTTGAGTAGTTATCCAAAGACTCTAAAGCTGCTAATTTAAAAAATATATGCACCTCTACATTCACTGCAGCATTATTTTTAAAAAGACTTTATTTATTTTCAGAGAGAAGAGAAGGGAGGGAGAAAGAGAGGGAGAGAAACATCCCTGTGTGGTTGCCTCTCCCGCGCCCCCTGCTGGGGACCTGGCACACTACCCAGGCCTGTGCCGTGCCTGGGGACTGAACCGGCGACCGTTTGGTTTGCAGGCCGGCACCCAGTCCCCTGAGCCACGCCAGCCAGGGCTGGCTGCAGCGTTATTTACAACAGCCGAGATCCTGGAGCAGCCTAAGTGTGCGTCGACGAGTTAATAGAGAAAGGTGTTTTTTTAATAGCAAATATATCAATATCAATAAAAAGTGCAATCCCGCCATGTGCGGCAGCACGGATGGACCTTGCGGTTACTGCACGAAGAGAAATACGTCAAACAGAAAAGGACAAATGCTGTATGACTTCACCCAGACGTGGAATATAAAAAACAAAACCCAACCAATCTCATAGACACAGACAACAGATGGGTGGTTGTCAGAGGGGAGAGGGAGAGAGACCCAGTTAAAGGGGGTCAATTGCGGAGCGACAGGTGGGGATAGAGTCTGGACGGTGCGCATGCCATAGTACATACAGATGCAGAATTACGGTGCCGCACACATGAAACATAGAATCCACTGTTACCGCAATAGAAAATTTAAAAGCGACGGTTGCCTCCCTGAGCTGCAGACTGCCCCCGGCGAGCTCAGCTCTCCCCGACGGCGGGAGGCTGCGGTGTTCGACAACAGGAGCCTGCTGGGCACTCCGAAGCGCCCGCCGCTGGGAGTGCTCCGCAGGCACCTCCGGGGTGGCCGGCCGGCCGGCCGGAAGCGAGCCGGCCTAGGGCCAGTCCGTTCCTCCTGCCCATCCATGTGCTGCAGAGAAACTTCATGAAGAAATTGACAGGGTGATCGGGCCAAGCCAAACCCCTGCCTTCAGAGACAGGCCAGAGGTGCCCGACGTGGACGCTGTGGGGCATGAGATCCAGCGCTTCATCAACCTCCTGCCCTCCCACAGGGCGCAGGAAGCAACCCAGGACACAGTGCTCAGAGGGTGCGTCATCCCCAAGGTCAGGCGTGCGCTGCAGTCCCCGCCCCAGGGCCATCCTAGCAGTCCCGTGGCTGTTCCCGCCTGGGGACAGGGTGGGGGACGCCTCCTTCCGGCAGAGGTGGCTGGGCCACATCCCCACCCTGCCGTCCTGAGGCTGCTTCCCAGCAGTCCTCACAAGGACCGCGTGCCCACAGGGACAAGGGAGATACGGAAAAGGGACCCCTCAGACAGCCCCCCCGGGGGGGGGGCGGTGCATTCCGACAGCTGAAGACACGCAGCAGAGGGAGCACGCAGCCCGCCACTCCTCGGAGGCGCCTGGAGCTCCCACCGCTCTCCATCTGGTCCTGAAGCAGCTTCCTCGACCCACCGAGCGCATACTCGTCTGTATGAGGTGAAATGCAAAACGCCCTTCTCCACGGGGGCTTCCAGATCCGAGCGGGGGTTTTCCTAACGTGACTGAGACGGCCTTTATTCTTCGGGGTGCGCCCGTAACCCCTGCACTGGACTCTCTCTTGTAGGACGGCCAAGAATTCCCAGACCCAGAGAAGGTTAAGCCAGAGCACTTTTGGAATGAAAACGAGAAGTTCCAGTACAGGGCCTATGTCCGGGCGTTTCCGCAGACAGGAAGAGTCCAGAGGAGGTGCCCTTCCCAGGGATTTGTCCCGAATCCCTGCCCTCCGCTCCGTGTACCTCTGCCATCATCCCAGGCCTGCATCATGCCCCTTATTTGTATTTGTAACGTGACCCAAATGTGCTCTCCCCTGTTCAGAGAAGGTAGTGACGTCTTTTCACCAGAATTCCTGGAAAGGAGGTGTTGAGGATGAATTACTTTTCCATACGTAGGTATTTTACCTCATTCAGAGCTAGAACTCTTTACTTACTAGGACTTAGTAAAAAAAAAAAATCTTTGACAACGACATCACCTCATTCTGTATATGGGGTCACTAAACAAAACACAACGCTCGGTTCCCTGGGTTCGTCACGGGACCTTCCGGCCTTTCGGGGCTCTCAGCTCGTGGGCCTGGTCTCTTTCCCGGGGCCTCTCCTCAGACGTCGGTGTGAGGGAAGGTCACATAACCAGCTCGGTGCTTCGGCACCGCATGCTGTGGCGCTGGCTTCTTTCCCGTAGGGCGCAAGGGGGACCACGGGGTGGGGGACACCGCTCTCCAACCCACCGGGGATCCACGCGGCTGAGCCCTGGTGGCCGAGGTGTGTGAGGCTGGTCCCTGAATGTGAGTCACCGATGCTCTTACCCCGAAATCCATTCTGCGCTCCCTTTCCATGGTGGAAAGGGCTCCTTCGTGCTGGGGGGCAGCGGCTCACCCCAGCCTCCCCGACCTGGCTCTTGCCTTAACGTCTCGTGTATTCTGGGGCAAGCGGGCGTGTGTGGGAGAAGGCCTGGCTCGCACGGGGCTGTTTCTCCTCCTCGCTGCCATCTTGCAGCCCCTCAGCCTGGAGTCTCCCGTTGGCCCGAGGACATCGGCCTCACCCCCACCGTGAGCGGGTTTGCTGGCATCGCGCCCCGTGGCCGACTCTGGCCCTCCCCCGCCCGCCAGCGTGAGGTGCGTGCCCTCCGGAGGTGGCAGACGGGCACGGGAGCAGCCGCTCTCTGCCGGTCAGCTGTGCGGGGGGGTGGGATGGGGAGCGAGGCAAAGCCCCCACGTGCCGCCCACACCCCGTCCTTGACGGGGCGCGTCTTGCTTCAGGGCCAGCGGCCGCAGCGGCTCCCAGCTGCTCTGACTGCCCGTCCTGCCCCCTCTCGCAGGGATCCTCCCAGACAACCCGGGACGGGCCCCTCCTCAGGGCCCTCGTCACACGCTCCGAGGCCCATGTGCCGAGTCCGGTGCCGTATTCCCAAGTCCTGGGATGAGGGTGCCACGGGGCCCAGTGTTCGGCCACCTCATCCGCCACGGGGTGCGACCCAAACCCCAGTGTGGCAAACTGGCAACTCAGTCAACGGAAGAAGCCCTGCCACGCCGGCTCCGGGAGGAGCCTGCTGGTCTCCGCACACGTCTGTGCAGTTGACACCGCTTCCAGCAGAGAGAGACAAGGAAATGTTGTTTCATTTGCTGTGGGGACTTCGGCCGGAGAGGACGGCTCAGGAAAACCCTGAGGCGCTCAAAGCAGCGGCAACAGTTGGGAGGGGCCCAGAGGCCCTCTGGGCACAAACGTCTGCCCGACGCAGGCGGTGGCCCTCGGACGCGGCGGCCCGGGCGGGTTTCCTGGCGGGGCTCCGGTGCCAGCCCTCCTTTGTGTGGCAGGCGGCCGACTTCTGGTGTTTCCACAGGGCTCGCAGCTCCCTGGTCTCGTTAGAAGGGCAGCGACCCCACTAACGAGGGCTCCGGCCTCCTGAACCGACGACCTCCCAGGGGCCCCGCCTCAACGCAATCGTGTTGGCATTAGGGTTTCAACATGCCCCCAACACCCCGGAACCCAGGTCCTCAGGTGCGAAATTGATTTCATCCCAACAGCCCCAAAAGTCTTAATCTGTTGCACACCGACTCTAAAGTCTAAAGCCCGAAGCCTTGTCTAAATGTTACTTAAATGAAACGGGGCCGAGACTCGGTGCGATTCACCTTCGACCCCCCGACATGCTGCTGTGCTATGTTGCTAGTGCCCTTTGAATAGTTTTCACGTCTCTTGCATTTGCACATCCATTTCACACTTGGCCTGTGTATTCACACAGAAGAACTAAAACAGTTCTATTGAACTTACAGTGGATTTACGTATCGCTTTGGGCAGGCAGGGCACGGTCGAAACCCGTTCCCGACTCGCAATCCGTCTGCGCTTACGGGGGTCGTCTCAGTGTGCGCGCCTGTCAGGGCATCGATTCCTAGAGGCGTGGTATTTCACACGGCTGTAAATACCTCTTCTAAATTTTCTTCCTGCTGCTCCAGCGTGCCCGCAAGCGGCTGAGCCGCTTTGCTGGAGCAGGATGTGTAGCTGCACAACACAAACCAATGAGCAAGACGCGGAATGTACTGAACACCCGTGTGAGCTGTGCTTGGGTGTGGCGCGTACCGTCTTACCGCTGTTTACTGATAAAAGTGGAGCGCACCGTGACCGGGTTCTCGCCTGGTCCTGGTGGAACACGGGAGGGCTCGTCCACGGCAAGGGCATGGCTCCCTGGTTCTGAAGCGTCCTGTGCACACACGCACGGCTGGTTCCCGACGTGGGAAGCCAACCACCAGCCCCGCAGAGAGGAAGGCTGGAGACTCCCAAGCCCTGGCTGTGAGCAGCCTTTGGCTGCGATGCTGCTTCTTACCTTAATGCTACTGCTCTATTGGGCCATTTTCTTGCAATAAACTATAGATTCCTCAGTGTTGTTATTTTGGGTCACGTGCCCTGGTATACGTACATCAGTATTTTTAAAAACACTGACCTCTATTTAGCCAATTGTTATATTCCTTTAGCCGTTCTGTAATCTCTCTGTGGATTCATTTCTGAAGTACATGAATGGAGATTCTTTTGCCATTTCCTGTTTCACCGTCTAGAACTTCCAGTATTTGAATAACCTGAAATGCCTTAAACATGTCACCATGGAGTATAAACGAAGTTACCTTTTATCTCTAGCTTTATGAGGGTTTTTTTTTTTTTTAACATGAAGTATTGCCAGTTTTGTCAAAGGCCTTTTATTCATCAGTCGAACTGTTTTTCGGTTGTGAACTAACTAAATCTGCACAATCAGCTCTGCTCTACAGGGGCTTGGCCGGACTGCAGGTTTTTAAAGGGATGCTGCCATGCCCTTCGGGCGAACAGATCGCCTTCACGAGCTCCTGTGCGGGAGGTCACTGCCGGCCCTTCGGACACAGGCAGCACAGCCCCATCTCACAGCTCACGGCGGGGTCTGCATCCCGGGCTGGGCACCCGAGCTGTCTGGCCGATTGGCCCGCACCCCCAAGATGTGCTCCTCTTCTTCCATGGAGCCAGCGCCCTTCGGTCGGGGGCCTGTGTGGGCCCCACCCACCACTCACTGTCCTCAGTGAAGGAGCCTTTCAAGACAGGGAACCTCTGTGGACATAATTCACTGTATTCTGACCCGGGAGTACAGACTGAGACTCCCAACATTGCCTTCAACTGGGCCAAAGCACAGGGTGGCTCTGAAAGGGCCTCGGAGGCAGAGACAGCCCCCCGCGACTGACTCCGAGCCCACTGAGGACTTCTAACATCATATCCTTGTAACGAGTGTCTCAGCTGTAGGTTTTGTGCTCCTGAAAGCACAACCCACACTTAGCCTCTGATTACATCTTATTTTCAGCCAGTCGGGGGCTGCGGGCATGGAACCCACGGGCTTCTCTAGCACCTTGGTCCTCACGGCTGGGGTGTCTGGGACTCTGAGCGAGGCAGGGAAGAAACCCTCACGCGGGGGTCTCAGGGCCCCTGGTCCTACGGTGCGAGGGTCTCAGGGCTGCTTCTTCTGCCTACAGGCCCAGCCCAGGCCGGGCCCTGGGCACGAGCAGGCCAGAGGCTACGAGGTTGGAAGCGTCTGAGTGCCCACTGAGGCCAAGGCTTCACCCCCGGGGATCTTGGGCCGACCAACCCCAACCCCCTGCCCAGACTCAGAGGAGGCCGTTGTGCAGAAATAATGCCTTTATTCCCTGGAGCCTGTGGTGTAAGCTCCAGGGCAGGGTGGGGCCTCCTCGCCTAGGGTGCAATCAGGGCCTGCTCGGCGGGTGGCCCGGGGCGTTTCTCCTCGCCTCTGAGGGGCTTCAGATGGGCCTGTGGGAGGTCAGGGTCGGAGGTGGGAGTCTCTGCGCGCCCCTCTGCCCACACCCTCCCTGGGGCCTGTGCCTTCCCGCCCCACCACTGCCGGCTTCCACACCTGGCCCTGGCAGCGCCCCTGTGGGAAGGCCCTCCCTTGAACGGCCTCCTCTGAGGACCCCCCGGGGCCCTCCTTGCCTTCCCACCCCCAGCCCCCCTCGCGGGCTGTCTCTGTGCCCCTGCCACTTGACTCCAGGGCTCACAGCGTCTGCGGGGCTGGCCCCGTCCTCTTGCTTGCCCTGGGCTTGAGCAGGGACCTGGACTCCGAGCTTTTCCAGCTCCTCCTTCAGCCTGGACAGAAGCGGGCGACAGGAGAGTGAGGGGCAGGGCCGGGGGAGGGCCAGGAGGGCATGCAGAGGCCGCCCTCCCTGGGTGGGCTGCGGAGGGGCTGTGCCTACCTCTGCTTCTTCTGCAGCAGCTGCTTGCACTTCTCCTGCAGCTGCTCATGGTGCTGGGCAGTGTCCTCCAGGAGCTCCTGGGCCTTCCTGTTCTCCTCCTCGAACAGGTGCCTGGGGCGGGGGCGGGGCGTCAGTGCCAGCAGCGCCCACTCTCTGCCCCCCTCCTCCGCCCTGCCCGTCTTACGCGGCCGCTGCTGCCTCCTTGCTGCGGAGGAAGAGCCCCTCAGTGACGGCAGAGCAGCCCTTGGCTCCCAACTGGGAGCACAGACGATGCTGCACGTCCTCCAGCTTTGCCTGCACCAGTGTCTCTGCAGCAGGGAGAGACAGATTGCAGGGCGGGGCGGGTGTGGGCCAGGGTTGGGGGGCCTCCCGGGGTCTCCGGTCCTCAGTCCTCACCTTCCTTGAGCAGCTGCTCCTTGCTGCTGTCCAGGGCACTGATCTCCTGCGCCAGCTGCTCCGGCCTCTGAGCAGAAGAAAGGGGACCTGTGCATACTCCTGCCCCCTATTCATCTCCGGGGCCCGCCTGGGTCCGGTCCCCACTCCGCATACCTTACTTCCCGCTACCCCGGCCCTCCAAGCATGGCCCGCGCGGCCCTGGGGCTACCTCCGCCTGGAACGGTGACGCCTACTGGGCTGGGCTGGAGGGGCTCAGGAGGGGGCTGACATTCAGGAATTTTCTAGGCTTTGAAGCTGCCCCGGGGCAAGTGTTTCCTACAGACTCTCCTTTGGAGGACCCGTCACCAGCCCAGCACTGGGGCACCTCTGAGCCCTCCCGTCGGACGTTCGCTCCCTCTGCCAATGTTCTGGTTCGCAGGCTGGGATCCCTTGGTGGCAAACACTGCCCCCCAGCCCCCGCCCCGCTGTGCTTGTGATGTCCCCAAACACATCCATGCACCTCCGTGATGTATGACCCCTCCCTGGTTCCTCACGATCCCTCCTGACCCCTGAAGGGCCCTGGGAAGGCGACAGGGATGAAAGTGGGCGGCCGTGCCGGTGGCGCCGAGGCTCTGACTGAGGGCAGTTTTCCCATGTGGCCGCCTGGGCTCGCTCACGCACCGCGTGTGGCAGGTGACAGGAAGGGAGCCCGGGGGACGACCCTGAGCTTTAGAACTGGGTCTTCCAAGGAAGACAAGGAAGGCGGCTTTGAGTGACTCACGTGGAACTCCCAGAGGTCCTTGTGCTGGCCCATCAGATCCTCCAACTGTTCCTCGAAATCCAACCTGGGGGCCAACCGCACAGGATGAGGGGTCACGGGTTGAGACCCCCTAGCCTGGCTCAGGCCGGGGGGTCTCCATGCAGTCCCGGGGGCGCTGCCCACACCCTTTGCTCTGCTTAAAGCACCGCCACCGCCTTGGCCCGTAGCTCAGTCAGTTCTCCTTCTGACCCCCATCCCTGACGTGACCCACCCCCACAGCCCGTTCCAGCCCTCCCACCCCCCGCCAGGCCTCCGGCGCCGGGCCTCACCTCAGCTGCCTCTGTTTGCGCTTCTCCTCCTCAATCTGGGAGTTCAGGGCAGAAATCCGCTCCTTGCACTCCTGCAGCAGGGTCTGCTTCCTGTGAAGAGGCGAGGCAGCCCTCAGACGTGCCTGCCGAACGTCTCCCCAGGAGGGGGCCGGGGTGGGGCTGCTGCCTCCCTCCTGAGGTCTGTTCCAGCTGTCCACATGGGGGTCCTTCTCTATAACTCCGTGGGGGGACGTGAGCACATGTCCCTGGAAATATCTTTGAGGATCAGGGAGCTCCACGTGGACATGGTCACGCGCAGAAGCCCACGCACATATTAATCTCCTCTGACCTCCCCAAACAGTTCCAGCTTTGTGCGCCAGGGCCTGGTGCCTCTGGTTCCAAGCTGAGCTAAGTGCGCGCCCCAGAGGTGCAGGGGCGGATGCACGAACAGTTGGGTGGACGGAAGGATAACGGATGATCGGTTAGAGGCTGAGTGGACAGGCGGCTGGCTCAATGCCTAGTGACGGGACAGACGGTCAAGGAGCCTGTGAGGAAGTGAAGTGCATGTCCAGCTAAAGGAAGTGAATAAAAGCCAGCTAAAGGGACTGCATTGGTATTGTCGCCAAAATACAATCATCCTGGTGAGTGGGAGCGCCCGCAGCACGACCGCGGGAGCCGCGGGGAGGAGACCCTCCTCTGGCCTCCCCCCCCACAGACGCGACAGGCGGAGGGGAGGAGCGGGCGCTGCGGCCTCGGACGCCTCCCTGGCCTTCTCTGCCTGAGTGCAGGGCAGGGCAGAGGTGGCGGCGGGGCTCTCACCTCTGGGCCTCGCTCTCCTTCTCCTGGCAGTGCAGCCGGAGGATCCGCAGGGTCTCTGTGGGGACAGGAATCGAGGGCTCCGAGAGAGCCCTCAAGCCATCAGGTTTGAGGAGGGGTGCGGGGGTCCCATCACGCGGGGTCTCGTGGACGCGTGATGGGACTTGGCCACTGACTGCAAGGCTGGGGAGGGACGCACGCTGACTCAGACATCACAAGGCTTCGGCGGCTCTGCAGCGTGAGCTTCCCAAGGGCAGCAAAGGCAGAAGCCTGGGGATGGGGCGGCCACACTTACCCTGCTTTTTGCTCAAGGTCTCCTTCAGGCGCACTTTCTCTCCGCTCACTGGAAAACACAGCCACGTGTTTGGGCATCGGGGACCACCCAATGCACCCTCAGGGACCGGGCTTGCCCACGGTCACACGGACGGTTCCGTACAGCCCTACCCCACCATGCACATGTTCATGCTCCCTGTGAGCACCCGAGGCCCCTGGTGCTGGTAGAGGGCCCTGCAGAATGCACGTGTTTACACAGAGCAGAGAGCACTGAACGCGTGGTGTGAGGACTGTGATGACACCCACCAAGCAGTACGGGGCGTGGGACTGGGTGGGGCAGGGTGCTGTCTTCAGACAGGGCAATTGGGGTGGGCTCTGTCTGAGAACGGGGCATTCGAAGCGAGAGCCGGGTGATGGTGCAAAGCAACAGGAACCCATGTTAACTGAAGGGAGAGCCCAGCAAAGACCCTGAGGTGGAAGTATGCTTGGCGGGGGTTCCGGGAACACTCCCACCCAGAGGGAGTGAGGCGGAGTTTGGTGGACCTGAGGTGGGAGAGGGGGCAGGGTCCCTGACCACAGCAAGGGTGCCGAGTGTCTGGCACACGGGGTTCGCAGAGGGGTGGCACGGGGGCTTCTGAGCGAGCCCTGCGGCGCTTACGTGAGTCCAGTTCCTTCTGCAGGGCCTCCCAGACGGTCCGGGCTTCTCCCAGCTCCTGGCTGGCTTTCTTTTTTGCTGCGCCAAAGAGCAGAAGGACAGGCATTGTGATGGTGCGGCCTCCAGTGGCACCGTTTGTGCAGACGGTAACATTTCACATCTGTCTTCAAGCAAACCCTGAGGGGCCCGGAGTTGACAAAGCAGGAAACAAGGCCTGCAGAAGCCCTCCTGCAGGGCTCTGCGGGCAGCAGGTCCCGGGCAACGGACTCGCGACTCTGCCTGCTGCACTGGGAGGGGCCTGTGCTTGGGGTAATGCCCTGCTGGCGGTGGTGAGAGAGACTCAGTGATTTCTGGACAGGGGGCCCTGCAAGTCACACAGCGTCCTCAGCCGTCCTGGCCTGCAAGCCACGGCCCCTGAGCTCACCTTGCTGCACCTCGTTAATCCGGTTAATCAGGACCTCCACCCTGGGCTCCAGGCTCCCCGCTGCAGGGAGGAAAGGAGGCTGAGTGAGGATGGCGGGGCCCCGCCGGGACCCCCACTCCAGGGAGGGAGACGAGGGGCAGGCACGGGGGTGTGCATTCAGGCTGTGGCGGCTGCAGTCGGGAGAGATGGAAGGGGAAGGGACTCGAGACCGAAGGAGTGGGACGGACTGTTCCGAGCGGGACGGCGCGAGGCCCCGAGTCGCCGAGGGGACAGGCCCTGCACTCTGCGGGGGGAGCGGAGGCAGGCAGTGCAGAGGCCACCCGAAACGCCACCTGGCTGGGGGGTGCGGGCGGGCGGAGGCCTGGGTTTAACCGAAGGCAGTGGGGATCAAAGGGGTGGTCAGCAACGGGGAGGCAGCTGCGCTCTGAGAAAGTGTTTCGCTTGCTTTGTCCTCATACTTCAATTTTGGATCATGGGTCCCTGTTTTTATTTAAAGGAACTAAGCTTGAAAAGAGCGAATGAGGTAATTTCCCACGGCCGTGAGCTCTGGGGTCTGGAGTTGAATCCCCTTCTGTCCGAGCCGCGGTCATAACGCAGACACGTGACCTTTCTGCAGCTTCTTCACCATCTCCATCAAGTCTTCGACTCTCTGTGACTGGGCCTGCCCTGCGGAGACAAAGCGGGCGTCTGGGAACCCCGAGGGCGGCTTGAGGAAGGTCCCACGACCTTGGGTGGGACCGAGGGGGGCTGAAGGCCGTCCTGGCCAGAGCCGGGCCCTGCTCCTCGCCTGGAGGCGGACGCTGCACAAGGGATTCACCGAGTCTCTCCAGGGTCCGCTTTTCCTGAGGGGTAAAGGGCACCACAGACACCCCGAGAAAACGCGGGGTGCACCCCCACCGCTGACGCTCTTCACAGTCCGCTCAGAGCTCCTGAGGTAACAGTGGAAGAGGAGAAAGGAGGGATATAAAGGGTGGAAGCGGAGTCAGGAACCACTGCCCGTGGCCGACAGCAGACCAACCCGGACGGGCTGGAGCGTCTACTGCACAACCTGCGCGGGGCAGCGAGCACGTGTACCCGGAGGCCTCCTTCAAGGACATGCGAGCGCCGGCAGCCTCCGAAGCGACAGCCAGTTGTTACCCTGAGGCCTCCCAGGAAAACGCTTCGCGTTGACCTGCTTCTAACCAGTGCGGCACTTTCACCCCAAGGAAGTTGCGGGCCTGCCGTTCAGAGCGCGGGCGTCGCAGCGGCCGCCCGGCCGCCCCGGGTCACTCGCTGAGCGCAGCGCACACCCTCCCAGCTCCGGTCCCGAGGACGCGCCCCGCGGCTCCCGGTGCCCAAGGGCAGCGTCCGGGCGGGAAGCCCCGCGGGAAACGCGGCCCGGCTCCCACAGCAGGTCGGTCCCGGGAGAGGGCCCCAGGTGGGCCCTGCGGACGCGGAGGCCATCAGAGGGGCGCGTGAACTGGCGCAGGGAGTGGACCGCAGGGCGGTCTGGACTCAAGCAGATGCACTTCCTGAAATATCGACGACGTGGTCCGGGAGCGTTGAAGGCTGAGCAGATACCCGGCGAAACGACGGCGCCATTGCAGCCAATGGCAGAGCGTTTCCTCCCCGGAGCGCGCTGGCCTCCGGGCAGCTTCCGAGGTCGCGGGCTTCGCGCAGGAAACGCGGGGCGGGCAGAGCGCGACCTGACCGGCAGGAAGCTGATGGCCGCCCGCGCGGGAGGGCGGGGTCGTCGGGTAAGTTTCCTCTTTTCCCAGCCCGGCAGGTGCGGCACCTGCGTGGGCGGCGGGCGGGTCCCGGCGGGGGGCGCGCGAGAGGGGACAGCACATCCACGCTCCTTTCTCCCTCCCTTCCCCGTCTCTAAAAATACATACATAAAATCTTTTAAAAAATTAATAAAAGGTTTTCAAAAATCGACCCGCTACGAACGAACCAATCGACATGGAGAAGCGAAACCGTCGGGAGCGCGGAGAAGAACGAGAGCTAAGCGGAAACCAAGCGCGTGGCCGGCGGCCGCCGGGACAGGCGCGGCCTCCGGCCCCGGCCCGGCGGAGTCTCCCAGGCGCCGCGCCGAGCCAGTGCGGCGGCGGCCGGGAGGCCGCCCTCAGACACACTCGGCTCCCAGTTCCAGCCCCGAGCGGCCCCAGCGCGGCGGCGGCGGGAGCGGCGCGCGCCCGAGAGTCTGCGCGCGACCCAGAGGCGGCGCCCAGCTCGGCCGCGGCCTTTCGGGGCTCGTCGCCCGGCCGCCGTTCCCGAGCGCTCGCCGCAGGCGGACACGTGGGGACGCAGCGAAGCTCCGTGGGATGCGTCAGCTCACACCTCGCAACACAGCCTGTGCGGCGGGGCCCCGCTCCCGGCTTTGTAAAATAATTTCAAATTTACTTAAAAGCTGCGAAAACAGAACCGACAGCTCCTGCACGCCCTCTACCAGGTGCCCCGCCTGCGGGGGCGTCGGAGGCCAGACAGCAGTGGCGCCCGTAGCACCGACCCTAAAGGGGCGGTTAGGAAACGTCCCCAAGTCGTAACCACCGAGGCCCCGGAGAGTATCGAACAGTAAGATTAAACGTGTCCCCTCACTTCTGCGCTCCCCTCAGGATTCGGTCTCCCTCCCTGTGGTCACCGGTCAGCGGCGGTCCGACGTCCTCCTGTGGGGCCTGCGCCGCGCTGGGAGCAGCTGCCGCGCAGACCGCCTGCCTGCCCGCCCTCCCGCAGGATTCTGAGGGGAAGGCCGCCCGCGCTCCGCCTGTGCTCCCCACGGAGGCCCGTGCCGCTCAGCTCTACCTGCCCCCTGCCCAGCCGGGCCCGCGGGCCCCGGGGGCTCCACCCGCGAAGGCCCGGGCCGCGCCGCCATCTCCTCTCGGCTCGAGGGTGCCAGGCAGTTGGTACCTTCGCTGGGATTGGACGAAGCCCACGCGGGGGCGGGACGTGTGAAGCACGCCTGCGCAGTGTGCTCCGTTCGCCTTCCCACGTTCGCCTTCCCACAGGAGCGGACGGCTGAGTAACGATCTGGACACGTGCTAGTGGGCTTCCTTCCAGCGGCTAGGAGAGGGGAGGGCTGTGAGCAGACTTCCGGCTGGTGACTGGCGAGTAGGCGGGGTCTGTGGTCTGCGCATGTGTAGAGGACTCCCAGGGGAGAGGCCGCTGGGCATCGCTGACGTTGCAGCACGTGCTCCTGGGCGGCCCATCTGCGCGCGGAGCTTTGGCCTCGTGTCTGCGACGCCGCTCACCGCACCCACCACAGCTTTACAGCGGCGCCAACGGCTCCGCGCGGGCGCTCGGGAGCGAGGCACCGCCGGCTCCACAGGACCTGTCTGGGCTGCTCTTTTCCGGTGGATGCAGAGGCGAGCGCGAGGCTGGGCCGAGACCCTGATCCGGCCCAGCTGGGTCCCGAGGCTGGCCCGCCTCCCTGTGGATGGCCGGGGGCCGAGAGGGCCCAAGGCGTGAGCCGGGTCGCACTCCGCAGGGAGGGCCGGGGCGCAGAAATGCGGCCTGTCGGGCACGCGGGGTCCCGCCCTGCCAGGGGTCACCGGGGGTTGCGCAGGTGGAGGCGAGCCTGGCGGCTTGTCACCGCGCGGAACCCCCGTTTCTCGGGAAAGGCCAGGTCGCCGGGCCTGGGTGCAGACGGCGCGGGCTGCTTCCTGGCTCGTCCCCTGGCTGCAGGCTGTTCCGAGACACGCAGCCGTGGGCGCAGTCCCCGCGCGGCGCTGGGTGTGCAGGGCGCTGCGCTAGGCGCCGCTCTCAGCCCCCTCCTCTGCGGACTGGAGGAGGGACCATTGCAGGGCGCTGCCCGGGAGGTTGCACTTCCGCTTTTCCCGGCGGGCGGGCGGCGCCCAGCCGGCCCGGCGCCCCTCCCCCGCTCTGCTCCGCCGCCAGCCTGGTTCCCCTAAGCAGAGAAAGGCTGTCACCTCCACCAAGAGCGCCCTTCCAAAGGGCCAAAACTTGAGCTGTCACTTCCAGGCTAATGCGCCTTTTACAAACCCACACCTCCCACGATATGGGTAAGGTTCTGAAAAAATCCCAGAGCCAGTGTCAGGATTAAGGGTCACAGTAAGGCTCTGAGTGTGGACCAAGGTCAGGGAAAGGGTCAGAGGTCAATGTTAGAGGTCAGATTCAGAATCACCTCTCATTGTTAGGGTCAGGGTGAGGCAGGTTAGTAAGAAGGTAGGAAATTCCTTGGCAAGTGGAATGGGGAACCTGAGAGGAGCTGAGCGATTAACAGCCAGCTGCTAAATCGTGAGGTCTCGTCTTCCCTAAGGAGGACACTTAGGAGCAGACGGTTGACACCTCCCCTTCCCACCGGGAATGGAGTAGCCGAAATTGCCCTGGTCAAGGAGAGAGACAACAGAGACCCAAGTGGTGCCATTAGCATCAGCCAAGCCCCCAAATGGATGAAATCAGGGGAATAAATGACAAAAACCATCTAGAGCCAGACAAGCCCAAGATAAAAGTGAAGCTGTCCAGAGAATGACCCTTATACACTTATTCTGATGCGTAAGCATGTCAGAGGCCACACCCGTAAAGCCGCTGAACATTCTGAGCATTGGGCAGGCCGTCCTGTGCCCGGGAGGAGGCGAGGGTCCAGAGGGACAGAGCTCTGGACGGAAGACATGAAGGGTGCGAGGTGCTGATAAGCGGCCTTCCGAGCACATCGGGGTGCGGTGCCCCCACTTCCCCACGCCTTTGCACAGAGGGTTTCAGAGCCTCTGCCTGAAACACAGAGCCCCCAGTTCACCCCTGTGACACTGTCACGCTTTTAGAATCTCTAGTTTTTTCTAGCATTGGGACAGTGCTTTCCGCCAGAAATGCTTACTCAGCTCACGCGCAGTGCCAGGCGCTGTCCTGGGTGCTGGACACGCAGCCATACGCAAACCCAGCACTTTCCCCGGGAGCTTCAGGGAGGGGCGCCTGAAACGGAGCAAACAGGAACACCTGCGCCTGGGCACCAGGCAGGGACGGGGCGGGGGACAGGGGATTCGACCGTAGGACAACGAGGACAGCCTCTCGAGTGCAAGGACGTTTCAGCAAAGATCAGAAAGAAGTGATTAATTTCCGGAGATCAATACATCTTGACTCAGTGAATTTACATTATATACCAAGAACTGATAGCAGCACATGAGCAGGAGATGGCTCACCTGGCTCTGTGTTCCACACACCTGGCTCCAGCCACCTGCAGATCTTGGAAGACCATGCATTTGGTCTGACCCCAGACCCTGACCGGGCCAGTGACCAGTAGGGCTTGTTCTGGCCACTCGTGCACATGCCTGCAGGCTCTTCTGGCTCTTTCCGCAACGCTGGCCATCGACCCTCAGTGGGCACAGCCCCACGGCTCCGCTCCAGAGCTGAGGCCCTGCGAACGTTCAGCGCATTGCTTCATGGGCATGCGCCCCTTTCCCTGCACTTGAATAGACTCAGCTTAACACTTAGTTTAAGCTCTGGCAATCTTTTTAAAAATATGTTTCATTGATCACGCTGTTACCGCCATCCCGATTTCCCCCCGTGTTGCCCTCCGCCTGGTGCTAGAGCGACCCTGCATGTGTCAGGCCTGGCTGGGCCCCCCTGCAGTTGTGGTGCCCATCCGGTGACACGATGTTTGCCTTTCAAATTGTGGGTGGCAAGGAAGGGCCGTGCTCCTGAGTCTGGTGCCTGTACTGAGGAGGGTGAGTCACAGAGCTGGTGCTGGGCCCCCTCTGCACCCACGAGGCCAAGGGGCGTGGGGCGCAGGGACAGGTCGCCCGTCCCCTCCGCTCACTGCCCCCTCTCCCGGGCTCTGGTGTGGCCACTGCCAGTGAGGTGGTCCTCTGCCCACATGTGTATCCTGTTGCACAGGTGGTAGTACGGGGACAGCCACCTGGGGCTGGTGAAGGTGTGCATCCGAGCCCTGGGGTGCCAGCTGTGCCTTCCAGACCCCTGAGGAGACTGCCAGGGGAGCCTGGTGACCACGCCGCTCTTCCTCAGCAAGCGCCCTGTTCGTCCTGCGGAAGTGCTGCCAGGAGAGCATCCGCTCCGACCAGTGCCCGAGGTCTGCCTCAGGTGCTGCAGCTCCTTTCCCCCAGGATGGCACCTGGGCCGACCCTAGTGGCAGCAGCAGACGTGGGAGAGGCTGCCCTGCCCGGGGCCTGCATCTTGGGCCTCACGGGGCGGAGCGAGGGTTCCCCGCGCTTCCCCATCCTTGGTCGACCTCACCCAGGGCCGGACTCCCTCCCTGGTCTCCGCGGCCCAGGCCTTCCCTTTGGTCCCTGACAGGCAGGCGAGGGCAGAGGGCGGCGGGATGTCCTTCCTCGTGGCTGAGCCGCGTCCCATCACATGCACACGGACAGCCCGCCTTCTCTCTGTCCGCTTCTCTGTCTGCAGACACGTGGATTGTTTCTGTGTGTGGATTAGGGTGAACTACACAGCAAGGAAGAGGGGGGCAGCTGTCTTTATGAGGAAGTGACCTGCGTCGCTCTCGTAAGGACCCTTGTTAGGACACCTGGACACCCCGGGGGAGCCCCCCTCACCGTCTTTGCCAAGGAGTCACATACTCACCGGCTCGGGGCACGAGACCTGTGGGAGGGCGTTGTCCTGCCGACCGCAGTCCACGGCAGGCAGCCCAGAACAGTGAGCAGCTCACAAGCAGCGAGTTCTGCAGGAAAACTATGTCTCCCCGACCTGGAGAAGTCTGTTTACTCGGTTCCGTCCCTCTCCCTGGGGCTGCCCCGTGCCCAGGCTGTGTCAGGCGCCCCGGGTTCCCCATCCCCACCTGTCTACCGTCGCTGGCCTCCCTTCAGTGACTCCAGGCCCCCCGAGACAGCAGCAGCTTACAAAAGAAAAGTCCCCTTTCCTCCAGGCTGTGTGGCCTGAGCCCACCCTTGGCTCTCTGTGCCTCAGTTTCCTCCCCTCAAGAGAACATATTCTGTAGCATTGCAGCCCCTGGGGCTAAGACTCAGGGACGCCCCCCGCTGGTGCGCACATAGCGCTTTAGGAAGTGTCTGGTGAGGACGCCCCCGAGGAGCCCCCAAGGAGCCTCGGGCTGGGTCCCGCTCGCCTCTGCCCGGCCTGCCCGCCTCCCGTCGCTGCCTCCTCCCTGTGCCTCCTCACCGAGCGCCTCCCAGCCTCCGAGCCTGGCTCTGCTTCGGCCGCGGACAAGGCCGATGATACAGGGGGGGCGAGGTTGGCGAGTCCTTGGGTTCCTGGACGCGGGCTCCTGCTGTTGGTGCAGGGTGGCTGGGCCACCGGGATTGTGACCGGTGGCGAGGAGGGTGTGGCTGTTCCGAGAGGCTCTGCACAGCCTCCCGAACACAGGAATGTGCCCTTCCAGCCAAGGCGGGCCAGTCTAACGCCTCCGTTTATCGGTGCTGACAGCAATATGTTCTAAGTAGACCCTCAGATAAAGTGACCCCCAGCAACCCGGGGCTTTGCGAGCGTCAGTGAGTGACTCCTATCCTCATGCTCTTTTGGGGGCTGTTGGTCTCCAGGCTCCCAGGGGCTTTGTCAGTGGAATCCCCTGTGTCATGAACAGGGACGGGAGGCCGGAGGTGACCGGGGAGCTGCGTCGCAGGGCACCCGCGCTGCGTCCTCTCCGCTGGTTCCCTCTGGGCCTGGGTGTCGGCCCCGCGGCTCTGCAGGCAGCACCCAGCGTGGCCCCCGCGGGCCGCTCCTTCTCGGGAGCTCAGGCGTGGTGGGTCCCCGCTCCACGCAGCTCTCAGGCTGCCGTCCTGTCTCCGGTGCTGAGGGACTCGGTGCCCAGCAGGGACGGCCGGGGGGCGGCCTTCCGGGGCGCCTGCAGCATCCGGTGCGTCAGCTCCAGCTTCTGAGCCCACTCTCCGCGGAGCCTGGGATGGCAGGGATTTCGGCGCTCTGAGCCACCTTGCC